AATTGAATATCTCTAGCAAACGCTAATTTAGTTATGAACAAATAGAAACATCGAAAAGGCCAACCGATGGGATGTTTGAACATAGCAATTACTCGTTGGAAACAACGGGCAACGAAGTCGAAGAACAACTCGCACCATTAGATTATGCTTCTTTACAATTAGCTGTTGTTTCTTATAACGCTTTTCGTAATCCTCAGCCAGCGTTCTGAGCCGTCAAACAATTATACGGCACATGCGTAACACCAAGGACACTAGTGAATAACATGCGTTTTGGGTCATGGTACTTCGCAACAATAGAAAACGCAGCAGTACTAATAGCACCCCGAATTGCACAGCTTTGTGAATCCAGTATAATCTGAAATACAATCAGATGAGTTAATATTATAATAACATACCATTTTATTGTTACAACAGAAGGATAATTTTCTAGGTACTTTCCAGACTAAATATGAACATTGTAAGGGGAGAAACATAATAAATAGAATTTTCATTTTAATATGACATAGTTTATGATAGAGCAGATAGTTTTCATATATTTATATTATATTATTATTTCATTTATTTGTATTATATTATATTATATTAAAAGAGGAATGATAATTTTCATATATTTATATTATATTAGTGTTTTTGGATCATGGTAATGATCAATTTCACAAAAAAAAAAAGAGTATCTGTCAAAGAAATTAAGCATATTTAAACATATGTACATATGTGAAAACAGATTCGCAAGTAAAAATTATACTGTATTTCTGTATTCTTTCTAGTTTTTAAATTCTTACTTTCGTTATGAAAGGAAATTACTTACTTCCTAAGATGTACACGAGCAGCTGGCAGTGTGTCCGGGTTCTCCTTGAGAAGGAAATGTCGAATTCCTAAAATGTAGTGTTCCAAGTATAAACTCCAATCAATTTGTCTAACGTCGAATGCGAATATCTGTCGATCCTCGGGACTAAGCTGTTCGTTCAACTCTCGAACATTGTCATCTCTGAAACTCCATTGTTGCATGGTGAAGTATTCCAAGTATTTGGTAGCTTTTTCGAGCTTCGTCTGTAATGTCACCATATTGGCTGTTTTGCCCTTCAGTCGACGAGTGAAGTCTAAAATGTGCGCCGGTACAATGTGCTGGAGGAGCATGCATATTTTATTTATTATAGTGGAAGTATGGCAATTGCCACCCGGATACCAAATCACATCGTTGTATGGATGCAATCGACTGTACTTGAACGTTAAATCTACGAACTTCTTCCAGGTTATCGGATTCTGTTGACCTGTGCAACAGTTGTATATGGGAATTGTCTTCGTGCGATTTGTTGCAGTCTTCCAGGCTGCAACTATCATCAAGTTGATTACTATGTCGACTGGCACTAAGTCTGCTATCATATCATCACGACACAGCATAGATCTGTAATGGTAAATGTTTACTTACTAACAACCAAATCAATAATAATCCAAGTCGGTTCATACTATTTAATTAACATAGTAACTCAGACAAGCCAAATTAATTAATTTTATAGCTTTATTTCATTAATACGATTTTGTACATTAGATTGAATATATAAGACGTCACTTTCGAAAAAATCAAGTTTGAAAATTTATTGAACATACTTGAATTTTGCTAATTCTAGATTACCACAGAAGAGACCAATCGATAAGGGATTATTCTGCCTGCAAAAATAATAATGAAAGATGTGGAATAAAATTTTCTCATTTAAGATCTCATCCTCAAGAAAACAGTATTTGATTACGTTTAGTTAAAAATTGGTTTAATAAACGCGTACTTGACAAATTGAATTTTCTTGAACAAATAAAAGTCTTGTGAAAAGATTGAATATTCTATGTTTTTGACTTTTTTTCATAGATGGAATAATTCCTGCTCGTTATTTACTCCTGATCAATAAAGAATTAGCTAAATTCAAGTATAGTTGATGAATTTCTAAACTTGACTTTCTCCAAAAAACCTTGAATAAAAAAACATTTATTCTTTGTGTTTGATTTACTTTTTTATGTAGTATCATCTCTTCCTTGATTATACCAGGACATCCTTTATATTATCAACTTCTTCAAGCTGCTTACCTGAAGAAACCTTTGCCAGCAGCGGCAATAATTCCAGTCGGTCCATTCCAATTGTCTAACCATCCGGCAACCGGTTCTTTATACGATGATAGAACTATGGTAGGTCTGACAATTGCTATTGGTAAATAGTCGGATTCTGTTTCCAACATCCTTTCTGCCAAAGCTTTAGTAAACGTATAAGTATTCGGTCGTTTGCCAATTAAAATTGGTGTTATATCATCAATCATCTTATCGTCCATCACCTTCGTCAAAGCGAAAATTTCCTCTGGTTCCGCTATGAGAGGATAGATTTGCTCAGCAATATCTGTACGGTCACAATTGCAGTATGCTGTTGAGACATGGATCAGTGCCTTTAAATGAAAATACAAAGATTAACTTCCCTTTTGTTGGGAAAGTAGCATGAGTTTCTAATTGTTACATTTTCTAGAGTAAACATTGTGGGTTTAATACTTGATTTAATATGTTCAAATTAAATTTCATAATTAATTCTCATTCGTTCCCTGTGGTAATTTGACACGTTTTTCTTATAAAATGTTATATTATTTTACACACCATGCAACACAATGGTACAAAGATATGACATCTGTTTTTCTAATATACAATAACATACAATCTTAACATTTCAAAGTACTTGTCAGTACAAATTATTGTAGCATGATTATGCATTTAATGCATCTTCTCGAAAATGCATAGATGTAACAAATGAAGATTCAAAACAGATGACCATAATATTAAATAAAATCGGAGAAGATCACAATATGTAGGAATAGACACTTGAATTTTTATGTAAAAAATGTGAAATTTGTACATGTAATTCAATAAAAAGATTTGAAAATTAATTGATAATATTAAGATTTAGTAGAAACACAACTGAATAGAAATTTAGTCTATTTATTGTTAATAAAAAAATTTGCGAATTTTTATCTTTTCATTATATTAACTATTAGTTCAGATTAGTGCCAAATTGACACCAAAAGGTAAATTTAGTTGGGAAAGTGAGAAACGAATGAGAGTGTACAGACTTCAAAAAAAAAAAAGAAAAAGAAACTTCATTACACGACTGTTTTCTGTTACAATATATTGCAGTGTACATCATTATTTACCTCTAAATTTTGCATACGATGGCATAAGTTTAAGAGTTGTTTAGTACCGATCATGTTAATAGTGATCGAAATCTTGAGCGCTTCGTCAAACTTCACGGTGGCGGCAGAATGAAAGACAACCGACACGTTTCTTATTAGAATATTCTGATCGGAGTCTGAAATACCCAGTTCGTGTTCTGTGATGTCTCCAGGCACGGCGATTACCTTCTGAAGTTCATTCGGCGAGTCTCGGCGTAACTTGTCAAACAGCTGCAAATATTTCAATAAATTAACGTTTTCATTCACTGGGAAATAAAATAACTGAGAGGTGCTTGTTCGAGAAATTCTTTGCATTTTTATTGAAACGAATGATGAAGGTCAAGTAAATTCTTAATATTAAAGAAAAATTAGAAGAAATATTAGAAAAAACAATTTTGAATATCACAAGAATCTTAGAAGCAAAATTAATCATGATTTCTATCATTCTTATTAATTCTTTCGTTTCATAACACAAGTACAGAAGTAATGTCCCATTTTCAAGAAACAAATGACTTTCCTCTGTAAGTTCATTCATTGGGAAATGATACAATCACTTTTCTTTTAATTAGTGTTGATCAATTAGTGCTTATACTAAATCCAGGAAATATCAAATTGCAACTACAATATTATTCTTTGTAAAACTATAAACAAGAAATTAAATATAAACATAAATCTGTAAAAATTTACCAACAAGCAATTCTTCAAAAAAGAATTCATAAGATTACTTTTTAAGTAACTTAAAAGACAAGCAACTCTTCAAAAAAGAACTCATGAGATTACTTTTTAAGTAAGTAACTTAAAAGACAAGCAATTCTTCAAAAAAGAATTCATAAGGTTACTTTTTAATAGCATTTGCTATTTAAGCAAAAAGTTAGTGATGCATATATCATTCAAGAGATTTTAAGTCTTCTTTAATTAATGTCACTATGAATGTTCTGAACAACTTAACACATGTGACATTCTTGCGAAGAAAGTGTTTTTCAAGAGAAGAAAAACTGATTGACCAACAGAAAGTAATACAATTTTGATTTGCTCACAATGATGACCAAGAGGAAACTCATGACAAGAGGTACATATTTAATAAAATACAATGTCACAATCAGGAAGAGCAACATAGTTCCTTTCAACCGGCCAAATTATGAAGATCAATGAATAAGATTTTCATAATTGGTTAAGGACCAACGTTTTTACAATGATAATTAAAAGATGGAGCTTTTTCAATTATGTCACTTTCTTCACAACGATGAGTTCCCTATCTTTTAGTCATTTTATATTGTACAAACTGCCAAGGAATAATAAGTAAATGTTTTTACTCCAGTTTTCCCTAGTTTAGAAATAATAAAAAGAAAAAAATACATTTACAAGTAGGGAAAAAAGTAAACACACCGGCCCATTCAACAGTGCTCGCAATCTTTGATGGGCGTCTTGGCCTTTTTTATTTCTTATCAGGACGTAAATGGTTTTGAGTCCTGGACAGGATCTGAGCAACTTCTCGACCAGGACTTTGCCCATAAATCCAGTAACACCGGTCACGAAAACGCATCTGTCCCTATAAAAATCCTTCACGGACGTATTCTGAGCGCTACTTATTGTACTCATTTTGATACGTTCTCTTCTCTCACTTTCTCCTTCTCTCGTTCGAAATAAAAAATTAATTGAATCCTTCTTTGGATTAGTTGAAATTCAGACGTTTTATATTATACGATTTAGTCTGCCTTTATCAATGTTCCTTTCCCCTTTCTTGTGAAAGCTTTTTACAAATGACGAAGAGCACCACTTCTTTGATTATTATCTTCTTTCTCTCTTCGGTTTTATCTTTGGTCTTGATACGATCCTTGCTATTTTTTTTTCTTTTCTTCTTTTTTTCTTTTAATGAGAAATAGATCTATATATACATGTATTTCTCCTTTTCTTCTAGCGTTTCTTCTCCCTTCTAACGATCCGTTCGTTTGCGACTATACAAGTTTATAGAAGAAGAAGCACAGCAGTTCCCCCTTAAAAATGGGACAGAGTTTGGGATAGTTGAAACGATAGCTAGCACAAGTTTACACAGTTCCAGGATTTTCCAAGTGGGTTACAAATGAATTTAATTTCTGGTGAACTCATTTCGTGCCCCGCCTTACGTATATACTTGGCTGAAACAAAAATGAAGAATGCAACATTAGAATAGATGTGTCAGAAGATGTTGAGAAATATCTCAGTACATTTGTATTATATTTAAAAATTCTAGATGTTAATACTTCAGCACCTCATACAAGCAGATACTGTCACAAGTCCACAAAATTAGAAAAAAATAAGTTTATTATAGAAATGAGATAAGTACTAAGGATATTTCATTTGCTAATTTGATTTGCATATATTTTATTTTGTAATACAAGAATAAGAGTTCATTTTTCCATTGTGAAAGTAATAACACTTGATCCCTTTTAAGTTATGTCATGATCATTATTCTTTGATTTTATTTCCTCGCAATAAAACTATATTTTGTTCTCAATTTTCTAAGAAAAACATTACACAAAAGTCCAATCTTCACAACGTTAAGAAAAATAATTTAATTCACGCATCAACCAAGAAGCTCAATACAATGGCAACAAAGCATTCTATAGTTCTATTTCTTAAAAAATGCTAAAATTATTTTTTATGTCGATGATTTACAATTTTGTATTTTTAGTAGATTACTATATTTATACGAATTTATAATATAATTCACAATTCATATTAGCAAGTTAATAAAATATATTAATAAATAATCTATAATTTTTATTGTATATAATTATAATTTCAATTAAAATTTCTTACTAATTTTTGTTGTTGCATCAAAAAGTAATTGCAAATACAAACCACTTCTTTCCAATATTTAATTTTATAGTTCTATGCTAGATATGATGTGAAAATATTTAAATAATTTTTTTTTTCTTTATTTTTCACAGTGAATTCATCCATGCTATTTAATTATACTATATCATTCCATGCTATGTAATTATGATACACATAACATAGATATTATTATCTATCACGTTTGAATGTCCAACTTGAAATTCCTCGTAACACTTAAGTTAAAATAACACTTGAGAAACTTATTTGTTCATTCGGTTTCTTATCTTGTATGACATATTGTATAGATATAGAAAAGAAGATGTTGAAAAACTCTACATTTGGTATGATACTAAATCTATTTATAATATCTTCCATGTGTAACATAGAATATAATTGGACGGATAAAGAAAATAATTAGACTTCGTTGAAACATATTCATATAAAAAATTTAGAATAAAAATAAAAAATTTATAAACTTAAATTGAAACTGCAGAAATTTAATTATATAAAGATAAAGTTAGGAAAGCTTCTTATAATATTGCAACAAAGTGCAAATTTATTTACAATATGTATTTAAATTATAACATTATATTTCTTCATTATATTAGCTTCTGTCAAGAGAAAATCCAATGAGAAAAGAAAATATCCAAAATCAATTTTTTTTTTTTTTTTTTTTTTGTTACTTTTTATTCAAATGAAAATTAACTTTACTGAACGTCGTTTTGCAAAGTGTCGGTATTAAAAGTTCATCTCGAAACACGAGTTTACCAGGAATGTTCTTATTTCTTAGAACTCCACCACTGTAAGTTACAACATTATAATGCAAAAGGTTAATATGTTCAATGACACACGTGTCTGATATATGATGCATACGATGCAAATTTTTCATTCAAACTTCTAGTATTGTGTAATGATAGTGTACAAAAAAATATATTATTAATGGTGATTGAATGGCGATGATATCACTGATGATTGGATTAGAACAGCGTAACGCTCATTAGAATAATGTAAAGTATAAGGATATTGTGAATATATATGAACTTGTGTTTCAACTTATTCCTTCAACACATTTGAACATTTTAACGATGAGAGCACGATAATGATTAATAAAAACATAAGATATTTTAATAAAATAAAAACATAAGATATTTTGCAAGTTAATAAAATTTAATAAAGACATAAGATATTTTGCAAGTATATTTACTAAACAAAAATAAATTAATTTATT